ACCCGTTTTTCTAACACATAACTGGACCTCTATTCTTGGCAAACTATCCGATGGAGAAAAAGCTGCGCGATAGATCCGAAATGAACCAAACCGTTGTCAGCACAATATTTTTCACTCCACGTATTGTCATCATCGACGTAGTAACATTGCCTGTACCAACGGCTTGTACTACACTGTCGTCTGCAATTTGCATGTTTATGGGAGCAATGTTCTTGTGACTCTTTGAGTACGTCTGTTGAACTAAATCGGTGGCCCGATACGCTACTTCTGCGCAAAGAGCTGTAAAATGACAGATAGGAAGGAAGGACCTGGTGGTTTGAAGGTGATTTTCCAAGTGAAAGTATTCTGCTTGTAGCTATGGAGTTATGCAAATGGATGGGAGTTTTATAACTCCCCCCGGTTTACTTAGGTGGATACTTAACTTGTTTCCAACACTCCTCTCTCGGTGTGCTGTACATCGTCCACGAGACCACAAAGCGCACGGAATTCTCCAAGTTTAGTCGCCAACAAAGCCTTTGTCATCAAATCAGCTTTCATTTCTTCACTCTGTACGTATTTCACCTCCAACATTACGTTTCTGATACGTTCTTGTGCACATTTTTAGCGTAGATCGACATGCTTAAGTTTAGATGACGAACTTTCTCCTTTCGAATGCACTGTAGCTGCTTGTTTATCGACAAAGAGGAACCAGTTATGAATCCCATTAATGCCAACTTCATTCAACATATTGTAAAGTCCATGTAATTCGGTTGCTACGACTGATGCCGCTATGAATTCGAACTCTGCCGTTGATTGCGACACTGATGCCTGTTTTCGACATATCCATCCGTCATTACACCCTCCTACAAATATTACTCCTCCAATCATGGATTTGCGGTCCTCCGTGTTCGCAGCGATGTCTGCATCGCTGTAGCCGATGATAAAACCATCAGGAAAGTCTTCAATTCGCTCTTGATTTCTCATCTTTAACTTCAAACATTTGTTCCCTTTAAATTTTGTAGAATTCTTTTACCAAGTTGTAAGTCTTGTTCCCTTGGATCATGGGTTCTTCTCGT